ATTGTTATGTCCTCCCCTCTGTTAACTCCAGTGGGGTGACTAAAGAAGCAATACAGTATATGTTTGACATCTAGAATTGGCAAAACACATATTTCCAATAAGTAGCAATGCAAATTTGATTCAGTGACATTCAGTATGCTAGTGATTAGCAAATTTTTCCAAATATGATTTACAATTATTTTTTTAAAGTTTCTTTCAAAGACAAAAATATGCTTTTTAAAAAATTAAGTAATTTTAAAGGAAGGATTATGTATCATTTTCAAGGCTGCATATTTCCTAGATTAAAGAAAGATTCATTTATCTTCCTTCTTAAAATTACTAGCAGATAAGAGTTTAGGAAAAGGGTACGCAAGATGCATATAATGAAACATATATTCAAATTCAAATATAAAATCCAAGATTCTATTTGTACTTAAGAAGTACTCTTGGGGAAAAAAAATACTTTGGAAAGTGCTAGCCTCAGTAAGCATTTATTTTTGTATTTGGAAAACTAAGCTAAAGCATTTTATATCCCAAACCTGTATATTTAATTGATTGTAATTCCTTTACAGTTCAGTCCTTGGCTATAAGCATAGATTTGTGGAATTGAAGCTTTTATATGATACCATATATTCCTATATTTGAGAATACTGAGCAAAACTAGGTCACTAAATAGCTGTGGAGAGGATGATGCCCAGTTATTAGGAATTGAGGAAGTGAGATTTCTAAATAACAATAAATAAATGAACAACTTGTTATAGGAGAGCACTGTCTCCACATGTATTAAAGGACTGTCAGAATCTTGAACTTGTTTGTAAGCAAAACAGAAGTGGTTGCTACATGTATTTGTCCTTACATTAGCTATAGAAAATATTTAGGCCAGCCTTCATTGACAGTAATTCAAGTGGTAATCAATCACATCTGAAGGCATAGCGTCCAGGAATCCATTGCTGTCTCCATTGAGGAGCCTTGAAACATACATTATTTTAATATGTATTCACCCATTATTGATTACATTAATAAGTAGCACTAATAAATAAGTAAAAAGCACTTATAGTTTATTTCTGATCACCAGAACTGAGTGCTTGCTAGCATAGAGCCAAAATGGAAGCTGCCTTGCACAATAATGAATGTGTGCTAATAAACTTAAAAGTTTTGAATAAATTAGATTATTGCATTTTCATTCTATATTTCTTCTTGAAGCTCAAGATGGTCTAGTAGAGAGGGAGGATATCCTTTTGTATTATGGCCACATCAGCAAATCTATGAGGGGAATCAGGATGAGAAAAGACTGTCCTTAAAGACTTCCATTAAGTTCTGTAGTGAACTGGGGAATATAAATGTGAGTTTTCTTAGTTCTACAACAAATAATCAGTACAATACTTGGACTCGCCTGATTTTTTTAATTATTATTATTATTAATAATAATAATATTGGAAGGGATCTTGGAGTCATCTAGTCCAAACCCCTACTCAGGCAGGAAACCTTATACTATTTCGGACAAATGGCTGTCCAGTCTCTTCTTAAAGACTTCCAGCATTGAAGCATTCACGGCTTCTGGAGGCAGGTTGTTCCACTGGCTAATTGTTCTAACTGTCAGGAATTTCTCCTTAGTTCCAGGTTGCTTCTCTCTTTGGTTAGTTTCCATCCGTTGCTTCTTGTCTTGCCTTCAGGTGCTTAGAGAATAGCTTGACTCCCTCTTCTTTGTGGCAGCCTCTGAAATATTGGAACACTGCTATCATGTCCCCTCTCGTCCTTCTCTTCATTAAACTAGACCAGGGGCAGGCAACCCAAAACACTCAAAGAGCCACTTGGACCCGTTTCCCACCAAAAACAAAACACCGGGAGCCGCAAAACCCTTTTGATATCTAAAATTAAGATAACACTGCATATATCCTTTTTTACCTTTATTATAGGTGTGTGTGTGTGTATGTGTGTGTTTGTGTGTGTGTGTATGTATGTGTATATATATATACACACACACACACACACACACACACACTAAAAATAAATGTGTATGTAGGTCAGACAATATATTTGTTGTCTGACCTACATATGTGTGCGTGTGTGTGTGTGTGTATGTGTATGTATGTGTGTATATACACACACACACACACACACACACATTAAAAATAAAAATATGACTTTTGGGAATATCCATACTATTAAAACAATGATCACCAAGAGAATGCTTTAAGAGAATAAAATTACATACACACAAAGGTAAAAAAAGGATATATGCAGTGTTATCTTCATTTTAGATGTCAAAAGGGTCTCTCTCTTTCTCTGTGTCTCTCTCTCTCCCTCCCTCTCTATCTGCCCTTGGTCTGCCACTCTTCTTCCCCCACTCTCTTTCTTTCTCTCTCTCTTTCCTCTCTTTCTCTCTCTCTCTCTCCCTCCCTCCCTCCCTCCCTCTTTCTCCCCCCCCTCCTATCTGCTGCTCACCTGGCAAGCTTCAAGCTGTTGTCCAACAAGCTCAGGGGTAAGCAACCTCGTCTCTTTTATGACTCATGGATTTCAACTCCCAGAATTCCTGAGTCAGCCTAGCTGGGCTAGCTAGCTCTCTCCTGCCCTTCCTGCTTCCTGCTTCCTGCAGAGACGCAGCAAAGGGAGGAGCTCCGCTCAGTAAGCTTTTCAGCTCCTCGGAGAACACTGTGAGTGTACTCTCTTTTACACATACACACACAAACACACACACACACACAAAAACACACACACACAGAGTGAGAGAGAGAGAGAGAAGCAGGGAAGCGCAATTGCCTCTCTCTGTCTCTGTCTCTCTCTGCAAAGGCAGAGGAGGCTGGGAGCCGCAGGGGAAGGCTCAAAGAGCCGCATGCGGCTCCGGAGCCGCAGGTTGCCGACCTGTGAACTAGACATCCCCAATTCCTGCAGCCGTTCCTTATATGTTTTAGCCTCCAGTCCCCTAATCATCTTTGTTTCTCTTCTCTGTATCTTTCTAGAGTCTCAACATCTTTTTTACATCGTGGTGACCAAAACTGGATGCAGTATTTCATGTGTGGCCTTACCAAGGCATTATAAAGTGGTATTAACATTTCACGTGATCTTGATTCTATCCCTCTGTTAATGCATCCTAGCACTGTGTTGGCTTTTTTGGCAGCTGCAGCACACTGCTGGCTCATATTTAAGTGATTGTCCACTAGGACTCCGAGATCCCTCTCACAGTTACTACTATTGAGCAAGGTACCACCTATACTGTACCTATGCATTTGGTTTTTCTTGCCTAAATGTAGAACCTTACCTTTTTCACCATTTTACAAGAAGGACTATCTTCCAGTGCTTGAAAATGTCCATTGAAAGCAACAGCTTCGTTCCCCTTCCCTGCATCTTTCTAACTTCATTATCAGAAACGTGACTGGATGGCATGAGATGGGCCCAGCACCTCAGCCAACCCAGCCCAGCAACATGGTGCAAAGCCCCAGTTTCCCTCATTGCCCTATACTCCAAAGCATCTGTAGCTTCATGCTTTACTACTCCCATCACCCTACCAGACCTTCTCCATCTTCTTGCGTCCACTGCTGCTGAGGCAGGCCTAATCTGGCCCTTCATGAGGGAACTGCTGGCCACATGTAATTCTGTAATGTTATGAGGAAACCACCCCATGTGATCTTGGGAAAAAGACCTCATGCAGCCAGTAGTTGCTTATGAAAGGCCAGGCTGGGTATGCTTGTTCAGGGAGAATAAGAAGATAGCAAAGGACAGAAATCAGCAGAGTGCAGGGCAACAGAGGCTGTGAAGTGCAGGGGCCCAAAAGAGCAGAGATGGGGATATAGGCAGGTAGGGGGAGTTGTAGCAACCTTGCAGTAATAAGTGAGAATGAGCTGCCAAGTGCCCAAATATTGAGCACATGACCTCAGAGGCTCTGTAGCAGCTGTAACTTTGGGGATTGGGCATAAGTACTTTTTGTTTACCTTTGCCATAACTTGAAACGGTCGATGAAAAATTGGTTGCAACTGGAGGGCCATCAGTACAGTCCATCCAAGAATCATATTAATTACTAATGGTATTTTCTAACTGGTAATTGAGGAAATTGTGAGCCAAAGATAACATGTTTTATCTGAGTTAATCAATCTTTATTTAATCTCTATTCCAGAACATGAAAGTGCAGGTCTAAAGTGGTTAGAGCTGCAGCATTCTTCACTATCTGTAGTATGATCTTGTTCTCCTACTTGTGCTTCCATACTTGATATCTTCATTTTCCAATCAGGACCAATTCTGTCATGCATAAACATTATTTATCTTTCCTGATTCATGTTTCTAATCTTTGCATTTTTATTCCAGGGTAAATTTTTTTGGCCTTAAAATCAAAACCACAGCTAAAGAATTACAGCATTAGCTGTTGTAGTGAAATGGCATCTTCAGGAAAACAAGGTTTTTTGGGGGCATGGGAATTTACTTTTCAGGAACAAAATATTTCAGGAAAAATAGGATTTAAAATTCTCCACTATTTCAGGATGTGTAGGTGTAATTTGTCAGAGAACGTCAGCTTCTAAATTATATAAAACTTAGGTTTAGCTTCAGATGAGATAATCTTTTGATTGCTCTTGGTGTAACTGAATGTTTGTTAAAGAAAACTGTGAACTACCAGATACGAAATCAACCTATCTTGCATGGTGAAATGTATTTATTCTATTTCCTTTTCCATTTATGGCATTAATATCCAGAGGAACTTTATATTGATACTGTGCCATAGTTCACTTCACACTTTTTCTTCCTCTCCACTTTTTCACTTGAGGGTGGAAATATGCATGAAGCATCCTTATGGATATTGAAAATCAGGACACTCTTTATGGGATATAAGTAAGAAAATGCATAGATATATTTCTCTGTAGAAGTCTCAGCAATCCAGTAATATGAATTGTATTTTGCTTTCTCTCAAGTCATGAAACCTGCAAATATTTTTCTAGATGTTGAAAAGTGCATCCCCAAGAAATCAAAGACCCACTCTTTTTTTTGAAGTAATTAAAATAATTGAGATTTCTCTTTTCTTTTCTTTCTTTTAGGACCTATGTTTACCCTGAAAGTGCAAGTTAATGATATAATCAGTCATCAATATCTACACCAAGCTGTTGTAGACGTCTTTGTCAACTATACTAAAACAAATTCTACTCTAACTGGAAAAAATGGAGCAGTATTGATACAGGTTCCCTATCAGCTAGGTCTGAGCTTAACCATTGTTTCTTATAAAGATGGTTATATGTTAACATCTTTACCTTGGAAAACTGGGAGAATGCCAAGTAAGTAAACAAGCTACAATAAATATTTTCTTTAAACCAGTTTTTAGGTAAATTAGGGGGCATGTACTTTTCATCTAGCCTTTACTTTCTCCATTTTCCTTTTCCTTCTATTCATTTATCCTCCTTTTTTATTTGTTGTGATTCAGTTTTCATTTTTGCTGAGCAAAACAATTAATTCATTTATTTCATACTGGTCACTTATTTCTGTTTTTTTTTCTATATTCATCACTCTTTCAGTCTTCACCCAATTTCTTTTATTTATCATTTAACTAATCCATTTTCATTGCATTAAATTTACCTTTGTTCCTCCTAACATACCAAATCCTCACTTCCATATAATAAAATGAGTAGAAGCATGCTCTTACACACAGACATTTGTTGTTTTAATAAAACACTCATTTCTCACAACAGATCACATGTGATACACTATCTTTCTAGTAACCTTTGCACAATTACATTTTGTCAATCTGTTTTTTTCTCTTTACTAAATGTTCTACCATGGTACAAAATTTCATGTATTTGCTCTATTTTTTGCCTTTTATGTATAATTTGCATTCATTAGCTTTCCCAATGGCTTTTCCAGTGTTTTGGATTTCTATTTCTTGTTGTATCATCCGGTCTAATCTTTGTTGAGGATAACTTGTGTTTTCAACTAACAACATGGGACATTCTGCATACATAAATGGACATATATTCATTCTTCCTCCCATGGAAGAATACTAAAAGTATTCCTTACATATTTACTCATATAAAATCTAAAATAGATCATGCTCAGTTTAAACTGAAAAGGTGCACAGTCTTGAGATAGATATAAAATTAGTACCAAATAATCCAGTCAAATGGTTTTAAATATTAATAATAATAATAATAATAATAATAATAATAAACAACAACAACTTTATTGTCACTTTGAATGTACACCAATCGACATATATCAAAATGAAATTTCATTACATACAGCTCTCAAAGGGTCACCACCTGCAATATACACTCCTTGTTTGTGGCCAGCTCAAGTTTCAGAACATCCATTTTAGTCTCTAGGGAGTGAACAATGGCAAACAGGACAGATGGAAACGTTTTACACTTAATATACTATACACATATTAGATTACTTTAAAAAAATAGCACTTTTAGAGATGAAATGTAAACTTACAATCCATGTTGTTTGTCTGTTGGGAATGTATGTATTGAAAACTCCAATTTTTTATTAAGATACATATGAATAAAAAATCTGAATATATTCTTCATTCAAAAGGTAAAGAGCCTGTCTAGCAAAATTGCAAAGAATCGTGCTCAAAATGACATAAAGCTTCTATTTCCTTCTCCTCGAGGCAAGAAAAAAAGGAACACAAATCCTATCCTTATCTCTATAAAAATCAGATTCCTACTAGTACATCTATACTCCTAAATCTTAGCTGAAGTTACCTCCATACTTTTTCCACTGTTAATGCCATACATAAAATTTTCTATACAATCAAATGTATTAGGCCTGTACAAAAATCTATAAATTTCCATTATTTTTAAAATAAAGTATGGTAAGTGTATGAGTTGATTTATAGAAAAATATTAAAAAGTGTTGAGAAACTTAGGACTTTTCTCATACAATGATCATCCTATGAAAGTTTTATTATGAGAAAAACTTGATTTAGCAGAGCCCTGAGAAAAGTAACTTACCTGACTCTTCTTTACCAAGCAAGAGGTATCCTTTGTCCAAAATGAAAGGTGATCCCCTTGTATCCGAAGTCTGCTAAATGGAATTGAATCTCTGTGTTACTTAATCAAAATCAGTATAATCATTACATTTTTCAGAGGATATAGCCTTTTCTATCTAACTTTTACTATTCTTCATGGCAACAGTGTTATAATACATTCTTATGTAATATATTATTATTTTATCTCCCACAGTATATTCTTCTGTTACACTTTCATTGTTCCCCCAAAGCCAGGCAAATATATGGCTATTTGATGATACAGTTTTAATTACTGGGAAATTATCTGGTAAGTAGCAACAGAACATACCCATGTTTGCAAACCATTTCCTCTTAAGATATAGCCACGTGCTGAAGTCAGTATGGTTTCCAGCTTGTGTTTTTAAGCAGGGGCTGCCAGCAATAGATGCAAAGAGTTAGAGGCATTTTAATTATTTTATATTTTAGTAAAACAACAATTGTCGACTTCTATTGAATGCTTAATTTGCTAATTCGTGTTAGTGGATTTGTTGGCTGGACAGAAGATGCAGGTCTTTTCTGGCCTTATGTTGATCCTCTTGGAAGCTCAGTAATGGAGGTTAAGTTGAGAGGCAGTGACTGTTTCAAACACAAAAGAGAGAAATGACTAGAGCCTGAGAATTCTAAGCCCTAGTCGCACCCTTCTTTACCACAACATCATATGTACTCGTTTTAATGCCATTCTAGAATGTGTTCTCTTCAGCACTAAAATAGAGGTATTATTTCACTTCAGTGGTAACCCACAATGAATGGCTTATAGAACTGTTGGCGTTCATGCCTCTGTTTTGCTCCATCTATTTGTGTTGAAGATGGAAATTGTCTTCTTGAAGGATCTCTCTCTGCTACATGTGGCAAGCAAGGAAAAAGCTGTCTGAAAGCTGCCTTCGCACATTTTTATCAACACCTATCCTTTTCCATTCCTCTATCTAATGAGGGAATGTTAATGGGTCACTGCATATAAATTAAATTAATCCAGCTTCTCCAGGCTTGCTGTCTAAAACGCAAGATGCAAAATAAGAGGTATTTTGAAAAACATCTCTTGAGAAAAAAGGAACGAAAGGCTATTGTTGTTGCTGTTTTTATAACAATGTTATAAAAGATGTTCTTTCACCTGTGTCTTGTTTGAGAAGTAAAGGTGACTTAATTAGTGCTACCTCTTCTAGTTTTTTTAAAAAAAAATAATGTTTTTTTAGTATTTACACCATCTCCTAAGAGAAAAGAAAATGGACATTGGATATTGAGAAAAACAAGATCTTGCACTTGTGTCTTCTCTGACTAATTCAAATAATATATCCTCTTGAGTACAGCACTTAAATGCATATTATTCATTTATTGCTTTGGAAGAATAAATATTTCTCCAGCACTGGAGATGGATAATCCACCAATAGTTTGAGACTGTATTCCTGTCCAATCAGATCAGTCGGCCAAAGTTGCCACGCCTGTCCTGGACCACGAGATTCCCAGTCTTGACTGATCTCGCCCAGCGGCCAGACGTACAACTCTGTCTCTTTGATTCAATACTAATAAACAATTAGTTTTTTTTGTTAGAGTCAAGAAGTTTAAAATTAAATAGTAATAAGGAGTTAGAAGAAAATAATGAATTTAAAGCTAAGGGACTGAATCAAATGCAAGATTGCAAGGACAATTTTGTCCATGTTATATTTTTCACAGATGGTCCTCACATATCAACCATTTGTTCAGTGACCTTTGGAAAGTTAATGGCAGCACTTAATAAGAACACCTATGACCAATCCTTTTAAATTGTGGTTATTACAACATTCCCATGGTTGCATGATCACAGTTCAGGTGCTTGGCATTGTGCCAGCGTAACACTGATTTCAACATTTGAGCAAAAAACTCAGATCTTGTGGATGTGTTTATTCATTAAAATTTATTTGCCACTTATAATGAAATGACTCTGGGTGGCTGGCAGCCTAAAACATTAAAATCATAGCATATAAACTTCTCTAAAGCAATAAAATAAAAGTCCCAATCCAGATAAAATTATAATTAAAAGATGAGGGAGGGAAGGAACAGAAGGTGCAGCGGGGGGAAGGCAGGATTGCCTCTTAATTCATCAACCGCCTCCAGTGTGATGCTCCCCATTAGGGCCCCAAGCCATCTCGCAGAGCCAGGTCTTCGGGCTTCTGTGGAAGGTCAGGAGGGTGGGTGCTGATCTCATCTAAGGGGTCAAGATGTTCCAAAGGGCAGGAGCCATGGCAAAGAAGGTTCTTCTCTTAAACGCTGCCTGCCAAAATTTCTTAGCTGACGGGGGCTCCAGCGTGCCTCCTGTGTTGGCGTGGGTCTGGCGGGCCAGTCCCAGTGGGGTGTGGTGGTTCCTCAAGGAACATGGGCCATGCCCTGCAGGGCTTCAAAAGTAATAACCAACACCTTGAATTGCTCCCAGAAGTAGACCGGTAGCCAATGCACCTTGCAGAGCAGTGGTGTGACATGGGTCATCCTAGGGACCTCAAGAACTGCCCACTCCACTGCACTCTACGCCAGTTGAAGCTTCTGAATGCTCTTCAAGGGAAGCCTCATGTAGAGCATGTTGTAGTGGTCCAAACATGAGATGACTCCTGATCCCAGAAAAGTTTCATATAGCACACCGACCGAAGTTGTGCAAAAGCTGTCCTAACTGTAACTGCCACCCGCTCTTTGATTAGGAGTTATGAGTCCAGGGAAAAACCTCAAGTTGCAAACTGTGTCTTTCTGAGGTAGTGCAACCCCATCCAGAACTAGATAGGTTAAAGTCCCAGATCTTGGAGCTCTATGCACCTCAAGGCCATTTGGTCTTCTCAGGGTGCCATCCTGTTGCTCCCCATATAGGATGTGTTTAGATGTGGCACTTTAGAGCGAAAAGGTCTGACATGCTGTACTGTTACGCATTAGTATTTAATGTGCTACAGGAGATTTTTTGTTACTTACAGAAAAATTGCTGGTCGCAATTGAAGGAAAACAAATGTCAAATGAAAGCCGTAGACAATTCTTGCTTTGTATTGTTTGTCTTTTATTTACAGTTGAAAAAAGACTGGGGCAGATATTCTCTCTTGATTTTCCTGTCAAAATCTATTTCAGATTAGAATTAAAATATAAATGATGATGGAGCATTCTGAACTGGGATTAAAGAGGACAAAAACAGAACAAGAATGTTTTTGTTAGGAAGAACCTTTTTAATATATTTTTAGAAAGCTCTGTAAGCTCTGTTTGTATCACCTTTGTAATTGGGTACTGTATACATCGTTGCTTTGTCTTTTATGATGTCATCTTTTCTAATGTTAGCCTTCATGTAGCGTATTTCCAGAATATTTTCAAGTATATGTAATTGCTTGGAAAGAGTTAAAAAAATAACAAGTATTTCTTATTTGGTCATAAGATTATTTAAACAAAGCATTGCTCAATTCCTGGTTTAAAATTATACCTATTTTTCAGATGCGAAATCTCAGCCAAGTGTTCAGTTTCCAAAATACCTAATTAAACTTCCTGTGAACCACCATATCACTAATGTAACAGCGTATCTTACAGTGCCGCAACAGTTTTTAAAAGTGGAACATTTTTTCTATACAACAGGAATTCTTTTAAATAAATCAGGTAGGTCAGACTGATCGTTAATTCTTAAGGTTTTATCCTTCTTACCTCATCTTTAAAAGCTCTATGCCAGTATTTATCCCCTTATTGTGGGCCTTGAATGTAACCTTATAGATGAGTAATGGTCGACTGAGATATTTAGCAGACATAAGGAGCCATCCTTGAGTCTACAAGCTGATAAAATTATGTAGTGATGATATGCTTTATGTTACAGATTTACTGCAGTTCCAAAGCCAAAATGCCCAGCACATCCCTACTTAAAATTTTATGTTTATTTTTTCATTCTAATGAAACAGATATACATCAGCAATAGGGAAAAATGATAAAGACGATAAGTGGAATAGTAAAAAAAACAAACCAAAAAGAGAAGAAATGAAGTTTATATTAATTTGACAATAGATCATAGATGCATATATTATTTGAAGGAGAAATAAATTTTAGGCATCTGTACTCAATATTTCTGCTGCAGAAAAAGGTATTCTATACTTTATTAATGTAGCAACATAAAGGAGGAAAATGCGAATAAAGCAATGTTTAATTAAAATATTGCTCAGAGTTTCTGTGATTTGGTTGTTTTTTTAAATAAATCATGTATTCAGGGAAAAAAGATTTATCTTAGTTTTTCCGTGCTTTTGAGATAGTAACTTTAGTCAGCAGGAAAGTTTATTGCATAATTAATTGACATGTTAATAATACTCCCCCTTTTCCCTACCATTTTAGGAGGGAATATAGATAGTCCTCAATTTTCTACCATTCATTTAATGATGGTTCGAAGTTACAATAAATTTTGCACATTTGAAATAACATATATAGTATTGTTAAATTGCTGGTTAGTTTCTAGTTGCAATTGCAGCATTGCAACTTAAACAATAAACTTAACTTCTAAACAACCAGAACTGATACTGACTGAGGATCATGGTAGACGTGTGGGTGGAAGCTGCTTTACCTATGGCCAATATTTTGAGAATGATAATTCATGCTCCAAATGAAGACAAAGTTACTTTTTACAAAGAAATTATGACTAAATCAATGAACTTACCATATGAAAGTGGATGTTTAATGGGAGAGTGGAATGGAGTAATTTGTCCTCGAAAGGGCAGAGCCTCTGAAAAAGATATTAAAACAACCCAAGGGAAACTATCAAAAGTTCTTTTTGACGAGGTGGACAATTTAGATGCATGGAGATACAAAAACGGTGATGCAAAAAAATATACTTAACTTTTTTGAAAAGCACCATTTTTTTTAAAGAATTGATATGTTTGGGGTATCTAGGAATTTGGGTATGAAATGTGTGCAAATGAAAAATCGAGAGAGCTCCTACAATCCAGCAATTATGAGTATAGTAATAATGAAGTCTAGTATCAGCCATTACCTGGTAGGACTTGGGTGGTTGAGATACATCTGTCTAGTTTTTTTCATCTGTTCCAAGCTCCAGTACAGGGAGCTGAACATGGCTGGAATCAATAATACATAACTCCCCCTTTTGCATTTAAAGAACTAACTAACAGTACAGTTAGGGCATTCTGTTTTTCATCTTTAGATTATACTGAAATTTCTGGTGTTTCTTTCAAATAATTTATATGTGCATTAAAATATAAAAACAATTTCAATCCTAAGGGCATGCAGTAGTTTATGAGTGTTTTGGTGCTGGAGGGGCATTGCCGTGTGGCTGTCATTGTCTTTCAGCTTCATGTGGCCTGATTAATTAATTAGCTGCAATGCTCCCAAATAAGTGCAGACAGCACGGGTGTCAAACTTGCCATGTCACGTGACGTGTCGCGAGGTATCGCAACTCTTTTTGATTGCCGGCAGTGGGGTGGGTGCGGTTTCAGTATGATGAAACCAGCAATTTGACACTCCTAGCATACAGGGTATAGCTTTAAAATAGATTAAAGGAAGATGGCTAGTTTCTACCTCTGTTTTTTGTACCAAAGATTCATTTACTCCATACTCCATTTCTATTTTCAGGCAGATAGTTGATTGAAAGCAGTTCCTTGTATTGTTTGTTATTTTCCAGATTACTTTCTATGCATACAGCTTTGCAAATTCTTTAGGGGGAAAAAAGAGTATAGACAGCTTCCTCTTTATTTTTATATAAGTGTTTTAATCTATTAACCTTTTAGTACTTTTTTCTGTTTTCTATAAAACTTGTTGAAATAACATTTTTTAATCAATAAGAAAAATAATGTCAATTAAATCAGACTTCTGATTAAATGTGTATAAGACTGTGCTGCACATAGCCCTTCCATGCGACTGGTATCAGTACATTTATTTCTGTAACTTGTTCATGTAGTATAGCCTTGTACAAAAATGGAAATAAGATTACCTCATGAAGCATCTAATACTTCTCATTGATAGCAATTGTCTGAATATGTGGAAAGCTGTTGTATCCCAGCTTAGGCAATACTGAGGTAGATGTAAGGCGGATTTGTTATCCTTTGATAGTATCAAATGACCTCCCATGCAAAAGTCACTGTTCAAAATATCCTTGCACGATTGGCTTAGGTCATTTGGCTTGAAGGGAGTATTAGATCAATAAATTCAATCAAGGTGAGCCAATTTACAGTACTGCTTGTTTGGCTTGAATGCCTCCAGAGATAAAACTCTCTACAAATCAGAACTGGTGCTTGGTCCCTTTTGCTGTATCAATCCATTGGCAAGTATTCACATGCCAATATTCCTTGAAAAATAGGAATTCCACTTGCCAAAGCCTTCCTGGGTGGTGAATGGGATCTGTCACTTCTTAATCTCTCTCTTGGATTGGGTGTCATCTCAAACATGCTTTGATATTTAATTACGAACAGTTGGAAATGTAACTGCTTTTCTGTTTTTATCTCCATCTGGTGGTTAAGTTCAATATTGCCCACATTTCTAAACTCAAATGAAATGAAAAGCTCATGAGAGCATATGTTTATTTTTATTTTAGTGGGCTAATTTTACCTCCAATCTAATTTGATAATCAGATAATTAGAAAAATACAGGTGAAAGGAAAAGGGGGTTGCTCAGCAGAAAGTAGGCTATAGACGAGGATGACCATCTGCTTTTTTCAAAAAAGATACTAAAATCTTGACAGTACTCATTCTGTTTTTAAATTCACATATGATTACTTTAATCAACTACTACAGTAAATGTCACCTTTTTTTACAGTCATAACAATCTATGTATCTATCTGTTGATTGGAATGTAACAAAACATTAAATAAAACAAAGCTGGCATTTCCAGTATGCAATATGCAGAAGCACCTTTGCCTCTATTCCAGGATATTCCCAGGTTCAGATTAAATAGCTATAATAGTAGTTTGACAGGAGCCCATAGGACAGTGGTGGCGAATCTATGGCACGGATGTCAGAGGCAGCACTCCGAGCCCTTTCTGTGGGCACGCGCGCCGTCGCCCCAGTCCTAGGCCTTCAGCTGGGTTTTATAAAATCTTTTTGCTTTAGGCCTCCACCGCCGTGTGCAAAAAAAAAAAAGGTTCAATCAATCAATCAATTTCAACTTCTCGCCGGGAAAAAAAAGATCTTGCAAAGTTGGAATTGATTGATTGAACTTTTTAGTCCCACCCAGTCTGCCATTACCACCGCAGCCACGCCCACCCAATGGGCCATGCCCACCCAATTGACCACACCTAGCCAATGGGGCATACCCACCCAGCACCTGACGATGCGTAAGTGGGTTTTGGGTTGCAGTTTGGGCACTCAGTCTCTAAAAGGTTCGCCATCACTGCCATAGGAGATGGGGGAAAAAAAAAACATCTATGACTTGGAAATAGCACTCATTTTATGAAGGTGCCTCAAAACTATTATATGTTCCCATTATCAAGAAAGTAAGTTAACACCACCTTTTCTATATGTTTAGGTGTCAAAAGTATTGAATTGACTCCCCTTGCTGCAATATGCGTAAAGGTATTTTCAGGTGGGAAAGAACTACAGGTGGATGGCTCCATTCAGCTCACCTTACCTCTTCTGCCTACAAGTGAGGTAAAAGCAGGGGAACCTATCTCAGCCTGGACTTTTGATATGAAAACTGGTGAGTGCTTTCTTATAGCCAAATAGTATTGCTTATGATTGGAAAAAAGCTTAGTTTTTATCAGCTTCCTTTATTTGTAAAAAAAAAAAAATCCCGATTGAGATGATCCTAAATATGCTTTCTTAGATGCAAATCCAGCTGATCCAGGATGCTTATTTCCAGTTTTTGAGTACAGGTTCCAGTCTACAGATAGTCCTCAGTTTATGTCTCTTCATTCAGTGACTATTCAAAGCAGTGGCAGAGTTGAAAAAAATAAATGTACGACATTTTTTTCAAGTTGTAGCCGTTGCGGCATCCCCACATCCTCGTGATTGCAATCTGGCCACTCTGGTGTCCAACTTACAATTATGATGTTGTAGTGAGGGATGTCACGTGATCACCATTTGTGACCTTCCTGGCCAGTATCTCACAAACAAAGTCAAAGAGGAAGCCAGCAGGGAAAGTTACAGGTTCCCCAATAACAAGCTCTCACCACCTTTTTTTTGGGGGGGGGGAGAAGTCCATTGTGGAGTACCAGATCCCAGGGATCATAGTCTGTAGCACCTCCCGCCCAACTGCAGCACAATCCCGCCTGCCTGAAGCCTCTGCCTGCCCTCCCACACCGACCTATCTGAGGCCCCCTGAGACCTGTGCAAGCTCCCTAGCATCCATCTATAGCACTTTCCACTCACCCGCAGCAACCATACCCCCCCTCTACACTCTGCCTCCGCTGGCTCCTTGGAGGACCGGCCTAGTGGTTGCAGTGCTCAGACCCACCTGTGTTGCGTGGGCTGTGGATTCCCGACTGCCTTTTGGGGATGGGGGCTCCACGCCCTTCCTGTACATCAGGGCCGTCGCAGATGGGGTGGCGGGTGGGAGGCTCCTGCATGTGCAGTGAAGTTGGAGGATGATTTTGGATGGCGGGGGCCAAATGCAGGGGCCACAGCATGGCATTACCCCTACCCCGCCACGTGCCTCGCCTCACCAGCACATGCACAGGTGGCAAGCATGTGGGGGCCAACAATGTTGGGCAACAGAGGGCCTTGTGTTTGACAAGTCTGAGCTAAGGTCTACATTTTAATAATAAATGCTTAGCTGCTTTGAGGCATAACTTGGAATATAGGTAGCCCTCAATTTATGATCCTAATTGAGCCTGAAATTATGATTGTAAATCATTGTGGTCATAAGTGGAGACACCCATGTGATCAGAAGCAATTTTCCAGCCTTTTTTGTGGTGGTTAAGTAAATACTACAGTCGTAAAGCAAACCCATTCATTTGAAACCAGCAAAAAAAAGAGTCACGTGACCATGTAACACTGCAACTTGTCATAAAAGTGGCCTGCCCGAGACATGATCATGGGATGCCCGGGGGTACTTGATATGGCTATCCTAACTTTGTATAGTGGTAGAACCACCTGTTTTTAAATGAGGCCTACCTTGTTCTAGGTATTAAAGATAGAGCAGTACATCTTTAACTACTTTTAGAAAAACAATGCTGGACTAGATGGATCTGCCTCTAATACATTTATTATGATTATGTCACTATGAGTATAAAAGAGTTGCCTAAAGTTTGATTCATCCGTTTTTAGTTGAAAGTCTGAAAGAATACATGTCATATTTTTTTTTGTCTTACCAGGTGCTTGGATTAACCGTGGCTTGGGAATGGTAAAGAACATGGATGATCACTTAGTATGGACATATACTGCTGCAAGTCTGGGATATTGGATAGCAGCCCCATTGCCCGGAACTAGAGGTAAACTGGGGAAATGGAAATTATTTTATGTCTGTCTTAATTTTTATTACTTTCACAAAGTCAGAACACAAGACATAGAATTCTTCCCAAATTTAATTGGGATGATGGGATTTATCTGTTGTTTATGTTGAAAGTGGAGTTTCTTTAGGCTTATGAAATATGACTTTGGGTCATAATAAATTGGGGTCTTGCAATATCCTACCTAAATGATACCGAAGTAAGTGCAATTAGTATTACAAGATATGCACAGATTTATATTAGTAAACATCTAGCACACATGGTAATTCAGTTCCTAACAAGAGCCTAGGAAAGAGTTCCTAGAGCAGAGGTCTTCAAACTTGGCCCTTTTATAACTTGTGGACTTCAACTCCCAAAATTTCTCAGCCAGCATGCCTGGCTGAGGAATTCTGGGAGTTGAAGTCCACAAGTCATAAAAGGGCCAAGTTTGAAGACCCCTGTCCTAGAGTGAGGGAATATCCTATTTAGAGTACATGTTGTAAAATCTAATGAGGGGTCATTAGCTTCACTCCCATATGCAGTCTACTCAGGTTAGATATTAAATTTTTGCTTGAACGTGAATTTAAACCTTCAGCAGGGAGACAAGTGCATGTGCTTATAGTATGCCTTACTTGTGTAGTATGATCCAGATCTATGTATCTTGTTGGATGAATGCTCTCTCTATATAGGTAGTCCTCTGTTAACAATGTTTAAAGTTATGACAGTGCTGATTGAGAGGGATTTACAGCCATTCCTTGGCATTCCAGCCATTGTAGCATCCCCACAGTCACATGATTGTAGTCTGGGTGCCCGCCATCTGGCTTGCAATTATGACATTGCAGTGAGCCCACAGTCACATAATCATGATTTCTGACATTCCCTGCTGGTTTCCCCACAAGCAAAGTCAATGGGAAAGCCATCAGGTGTCAAATCATTACTGCTCCCACTGCCTTTGCTTCCACCAGCTTGCTTTCTATAATACCTGTCTGTGGCACCTCTCACCCAATGTGGCACTCGTACCCCCACGTGTGCTCTGTAACACCCAACTGTGGCACCCGCCCATGCGCAGGCCTAGGTGTTTACCTGTACTCCATAGTGCCTCCCAGCAGTGCCCCCCACTGAACCTACACACCTGCCTCCCTTCCCTAGTATTTGCCTGTTCATAGCTCTCATTTGCAGCTCTCACCCACTGGCTTCTTTGCCTCGAACTCCCACCTCTTCTCTGGGGTCTTAAAGGTACAACAGCAGCCAAATTCTTATCCCAATTGCTGTTATAACCTGCAACCTACTTGTAGGTATATTGCTTGAATGATTTTGACTGAGGTAGAACCAACATCAGTATAGACTAGAGACAATGAATGAAACTGATCTTAGGGCCTTCTGGGTATTATTGCGTACCATGGTGGCACAGAGGTTAGAATGCAGCATTGCAGGCTACTTCTGCTGAGTCCTGGCTGCCTGCAGTTTGGCAGTTCGATTCTCACCGGCTCAAGGTAGACTCAGCCTTCCATCCTTCCGAGGTGGGTAAAATGAGGACCCAGATTGTTGGAGGCAAGATGCTGGCTCTATAAACCGCTTAGAAAGGGCTATAAAGTACTGTGAAGCAGTATAAAAGTCTAAGTGCTGTTGCTATTAAACTGCTTCTATAATAAATAAATTGTGGATCTCATGCTCTCTGATGTGAACCTCTCTCTGTTCTGTCTTTGCTGGAGGCTTGTATCCATGTCTCCTTGTATGCTGAACGATCCAGTGTCAGAATGTAAAGGAAGAACAGTCAGGAAAGATAGGAATGCTTTCTGCGCTAGTACAAAACCAGTAACTTTTATTATCCTCTCTTCATCTCTCCCTGCATCTCCTTTCTCTGATTAAAAACACAGATTCCATTATTACAACGGTTACTAAAGATATCTCTGCCTACCACACAGTATTCCTCACAGCGATATTAGGAGGCACCGTCACCATCATTGCTGGGTTCTTTGCACTTCTGCTTTGCTATTGTGGGTAAGATGGAAAATGATGGTAATGCATTTTTTGCCATAACCAATTACAGTGTGCACTGTTTGAAAGCATGGGATTAGTGCTCAGGTTGATTCGCTTTCGAAAGATAATTGATTTACAATTTAATGCTCACTTTCTATGCCTAAAGGAAATGCTAATTTGTCCTACGCATTATGTAACACTCTTTTTTAATACTGGTTTTGAAGCTAAGAAACCTTGCTGAATGTATAATTATAGATAGATAGATAGATGCTACAGTATATCCATGCTCATTATCTTCCCTTTTGTCTCGCTTGCTCTATTCCTCTACCTTTTTCCTCTGCCTAGAGATGGAGATAGCTAGCTAGATAGCTACATAGCAAGATAGCAAGAGACATAGATAGATAGATAGATAGATAGATAGATAGATAGATAGATAGATAGATAGATAGATAGATAGATAGATAGATAGATAGATTTATTTATTTATTTATTTAGTGGTGGTGCTAGTCTGCTTCAAAGATAGGTACATATGATTTAGTAAAATCCAAAACTAAGTGCATGTTTTCTTCCTTTACAATATAGATAAGTTTATAAATTACATAAATAAACAAGCCTAGTGGTGTTAGACCAGGGGTAGGCAACCTTGGCTCTTTTATGACTCATGGACTTCAATTCCCAGAATTCCTGAGCCAGCCATGCTGAGGGGAAATGGTGAGGTTTCCAAACTGAGCCATACTGGCTGAGGAATTCTGGGAGTTGAAGTCCACAAGTCATAAAAGAGCCAAGGTTGCCTACCCTTGTGTTAGACTATTACTAATTGCATAGATATACATTAAAGCATAGTTTTAATATTTCTTTTTTTATTTTGCTTCTTTTTTTAGGGATAAATGTGGTCGTCCAAAAAAGAGAAAGAAAAGTCCAACTAAACTAGACATTTTAAAAAAAGACCAAACAACTTCAACAACTCACATGAATCATATCAGTGTAGCCAAAGGATCTTTGAAGCCAGAGGACAAATCTAGATTATATTCACCCAAAGTAACATCTTACAGCCCCCAGAGACAGGTTTCAGCTGAAGGTGAGGAGAGGAAAGCTCAAGACAATTTTAAAGTTTACACAGAAGGTACTCCGTACCAATTCTCTGGTAAAAATCTCCAACATAGGAGCTCACCTCAGCCCTTGGAAGTTAAAACAGATTTGAGACACCTTCCGCCAGTGAAACACCTCAAGGGAAGTCTTCCCCCTTCCCAAAATGCACAAGAGGAGAATCAGTATCTCCCAATGACCGAGGAGATTTATGGGCTCTCTTCCCTCCCAGAACAACTTATGCATCTTTATAGCCAGCCTGGTGCTATGCTTCAAACATCTGAGCTATTTCACTCCCAAGAGCAATTGCATGCTGCAAAGTCAGCTACTTTACCAAGAAAAGGACAGTTAGTCTACACCCCTGTGATGGAGAGTATGAGTCATGAAAATTATACCCAGACATTGCCCAAAATGCCAATGCACGTTCTCTTGCAGGAACCAACTTCCAGAGATGAAACAGTTGCTGTAGATAGGCAACAAGGCTTGTCCCCTCAGACTGCCAACTGGGGCCGCTACACTAGTAGCTTGCTGGAGTCGGTTTCTGTCCCAGGAACGTTAAATGAAGCTGTGGTGATGACACCATTTTCATCAGAACTTCAGGGCATTTCAGAGCAAACCTTATTGGAGCTTTCCAAAGGAAAACAGTGTCCACATCCAAGAGCATGGTTTGTGTCGCTAGATGGCAAACCAATAGCTCAAGTGAGGCATTCATTCATTGATCTCAAGAAGGGCAGGAAGACTGAGAGCAATGATACTAGCTTAGACTCAGGTGTGGACATGAATGAGCATAACCCAAGTCGAAAATTGGAGAGGGAGAAAACCTTTATTAAAAGCACGCAGCAATCTAAGATACTTTACCCAGAAGACTTGGATCTGAGTACCAGTGAATGTGGGACCAGGGTTTCAACCCCTGAGGATCAAGCTGTGAAGCATATGCCAGAAGGAGGTAATGACCCCATCATAAAGCAAGAGCTCCTGGAAGAGATGCCGAGAAGAAAAAACAAGGCAAAAAAGCATGAGGCCAGCCCTCCCCCTGGGAAGAAACAGGGAAGACCACGTCTAACTAAGACAGAAAGCAAAACAAATATCTGGAAAAAGAGAGAGGAGAGACCACTCATTCCAATAAATTAACATTACAGTGATGTCTATCTTCTGATTGTTTCATGTCCTGTAGACTGTACCTCCTCTGTCGTTTTATTTGTAAATTTGCACTGGTCATTTTCAGTGGGGCAGTCAGATTTAGGTGACATTGCTTTTTTAAGACACAGAGCAGATTACACCTTCATAAGGAGTATTGTTTTCTGAAAACCAGCTCATCTTGCTTTCAACAGTTGTTATAATTTCAGGACTTTAGTAAAACTATACCTGAAAAATTATTCTGTGGTGTATCTGCAAGGACATATATGCTTTCTCTAAAAGACACCAGTATGGTATCTCATTTAGCTGCTTTGAAATTAGACAACTGGCAAGGAATAGGATTTGTTGATACCAAATTGTGTTGGTTTAGGAAAAAAAGCATACATAGATAGCAAGTGTGTGTTATTTTTGCAACTATAGTATCTGATAATGGACATCGTCATAATATGGTTTGATATTGGGTAGTATAGTATTTTTCATCTAAATGCTGATAGGAGATCTTTTTATTTCGTATCTAACATAACATCCTGCCTCACCGTAATTCCTATGTAGCTCTTTCTGGTGGGGGAGGGAAAATTAAGGACTTGTTATCCAGAAGGTATTTCCAGTGTGAAGACTTCTGCCATTCCAATTTGTATTGAGCCAAATTGTGCTCCATTTTTAGGATAGCTGGATTTATATTATTGTAACAAAGGCAAAGTTTGGCCCTTTATGCTCACAATGTGTGCCATTGTAAACATGGCCAAAAAGATGCCTTTTTAGATATTTCCACCAGAAACAGCATTCTGTACTAGCCTTAAAAAGACAAAAGAAATGCGGTATTAACTTGATAATGTGCCTCCCTTTTCAGCTAGCTTTCTCATAAGTCATAAAAGTCAATTGTTGCTTATGAACTGTTGAAATCTGTTGGAATTAAATTTAGCCATATCTGTAATTTGTTAATGAAAAAATGGGGATGGTGGGACCTCTTCGTTATACCCAAATTTTCTAATCTGAGAGTAAATCTCTGAGGCAGACAAAATAAAGGGGAACACCATAGTTTCATAGTATGCAAAATGGAAAATTTTGGAAAGTTCCCTGGAGAAGGATTCCAACATGTATAGATAAGCCTTTCTTAATGAAAGTTATATGGATTTTGGAATCTACATGGAGACCTCTGAAATAAACATATTATAGCCCTAAATATAGTTACTTGGAAATAGGTTCTGTTGATTTCAGTGGAACTTGTTTCACATAAAAGCATCCACAATTAAAAGCTAAAAATGCATACATCTCTACCTGAAATTACAAGACATTTACATTTGATGAGTTAGGAGATACTTTTAAGTAGAAGAATTGGTGTAAAAATGGGAGGTGAACATATTTGGGGATGGAAGAAGGACTTAACAAATAGGCATTAGAATGGCCAAATGTTAAATGGCACTAGCCATTTCTGCAAATAGGGCAAAAGTAAAATTTCATGCCTGACAATTGTACATTATATCTTTGTAATAAACATAACAAGTGTACTTTATCAACTGACTTACCATTCACTAGAAGTATCTAACGTGTCCTAACTAGGTTGTGCACTATAAACATGTTCAGGGACTATCAATTGGGGCTTCTGTATATATATTGAACGGAAACTGGGATTTGGCCTGTAGGGTAACAGCCATCCTTAGGCATAGAATTCATTGTAAGAGTTAAAACACTGATTATATGAAGGATTGTATGAAATATAAAAGAAAGCACTCTAGAAGAAAGAAATGTACACAAACACACAAATGTTCATTTGTTTTTTGAATAATAAACGTGTTGCTGATAATTCATTTTTGGCTAAGAGAAAAATAGATATCCCTAAGTGAATTATCTTGCTAGAGAATCCTGTTAACCAAAGTATTTTTCCAGCATTTTGATTTTTGCAATCAGCTAGAAAATCTAACGATACTAATTTTGTTATCAGAAAGTTCCTCAAGTCAAAGTAAAATTAAACACGCCAACTAGGGGCTTTTCTTACGTCCTTTTCCATTCATCATCTCACCGTCATTTGAGGACTGGCTCATTTTTATTGCAGTAAGGTTGTAGCCTTTGAAATCAAGGTTGAAACGTTAGCCACCCTACTTTTTCAGTTCAAAACTCATTTGTCTCCTTCATATCGAAATAAATACAAAATCTGGATATCAGGAACTATAGGTTCATGGTGGACAGGTGGCACAGAAATCATGCTCCAACTTATAGCAAGGCAATGGTCTTTCTAAGCATGAACAGAAAATACCCTACCTTGCTAAATATCTAACATTAAATGTTAGAAGCTTCAGATTTATTAATGGACAGAGAATCACTTTTAATTATATATGATCATTAATAATATTTCCATAGAGCTCTTTTGTTCTGAAACAATATAGAGAAATGAATTATATAATTAATAAAAAGGCCTTCATAAATTTGTTACTATGGTTGGGAGGATAGTAACATTTTAATCAAAATCAAAGATTTGCCCAAACAAAAATGGAGTAGTTCTGAATGGCACAACTTTTATTGAAAGATTATAGTATGGAGCTGCACAATTACCTATGTTTTGGGTTTGCTTTTCTTAAAAAAAAAAGTGAGGAAAAAAATGGAACTTCAAAAGGCACAATGATACAGAAATAATGGATTTTGAGTAAAATATTCTAGTTGGTTTATCTTAACTTATGCGACTTGAATTTCTACTTATTTGCAGGCCATTGTGTATGAACTGATGGGAAAGAGATAAACAGATCCCCCAAGGATTTGGATCACTTTTACTGGACTAGTGTAATAATGCATACCATAATCTGCAGTAGTGGATTTTTAAAATGAAAATATGTATGTGCTTACAGAACATATGAGACAAGATGGACATTTTCTTCAGTTTGGAGATAAATTGAACCAATACTAATTGGCTGCCTAGAGATGATAAGCTCATTTGTTATCCTGTTCTTGCATTGAATCCTACAATAGTAGTATATCCAAAGGTTTTTTTTTTTAAATACTATTTACATTTTATATTCAAATGTTTTACTGTCTCATCTGCAGCTTGGTGATACAGATCAGAAAAATCTATCTCTTTAATTGTTCACTACATTATTGGTTCTTACCAGAGTGTGCATGAAACGGTAAGACTAATTTCAGATTTTAATCTAAGCACAAATGTCTCTCTGGGTATGTGGGAGATATATTAATGATTTAAATATAATGTAACTAAAAATATTTTTGGAAGTCAGTTTCAGAAAATAAGTGCATTTCCCTTCATATGTGACACATGCACTGAAATAGTACCAGACATTTTAAGCATTTTGGAATATTAAACAATTTTCAAACAAAAAATGTTTTTGCCATTTTATATTTTAACAGCACTGATAGAATTATGCCTGGTAAATTTTTGATGGTATTGTTCCCTTTAATCCCTAATCAGTATTTCTGAAATAATTGATTTTTAGCATTTTGTATCAATTAGTTGTATTGGCTGAAATTTAAACTAATTTTGAAAATTTTACAAAAAGAATTGTCAAATAATTGTACATTTCCCAATTGTAATACACTGTTCTTTAAAATATACTGGTGTGTAATTCTTCAGCATATATAGATTTTTTGTGTGTTTTTTTAAAAATGTATTTCTATGTCATATTGGTTCAGTTTTACCGTATTGCATGCATGTTAACAGAGCAGTTCTATGCATGCTTATTCAGAAGGAAATTCTTTATAGTTGAATGGAATTTCCTACTAAATAAGTAAATATACATATGCTTACAATCTTAAGAGTATAGTTTGTATTGGGAATCCCATTTTGTGAGCTGCAATGGCTAGAACAGTATCTGGAAATAGACATGGAAACAGTCACCACTGAAATTAGCCCTTTATGACATCTATTATTAAAAGTTGAGATATTCTCTAATAGAGGAACTGCTGAATATTCAGCAATTCCAACCCCATGTAATATTCAGCAATGTTATTTAGATAAATTTAGACTCTGGATTTACAAAATTGGCCATTAAGATTACAACATCATTTAGTTCAGTCTTGCTGCATTGGGGCCCACCTGTTCATCCTGCCAAGGAGAGGCCTGAAATTTGCCCCTCTTGCTATCATTCAATGCAATTGTTTTTACCCACCACCAAAGCAGGCAGCCCATTTTCCATTGTTGCTGTTTTAGAGACTAGCTTGATGCTTTCTCACACATGTGCTGTGCCGCTTTCATATTGCCGTAGTGCTTTGTGTTAAAGCAGTGTTTCCCAAACTTGACAATTTTAAGGCATGTGGACTTCAACTCCCAGAATTCCACAGCCAGCGTTGCTGGCTGTGGAATTCTGGGAGTTGAAGTCCTCATGCCTTAAAATTGTCAAGTTTGGGAAACACTGTGTTAAGGGAAAGAAATGCAGAGTGGTTTCTTTCAAAAGAAGCTCACAGTACTAATTAAGACTAGTCACTGAATCATGTAAAGTTGATAATCTAATCCACTGCAGAAATAGTCTAGTCTTTACTTACTCGATTTATGTTGTAAATAATAAGGACTCTTTTCTCACAGCATATTTTAAATTTGTTTTATGGTTTATTTGTGCTGATCCTTTTCATTTTATTTTTACATTTTCCTACCAGTAGCAGCTGTTCATGTCTGTGCAACTACTGCAGTGCCAATGGATTGTCTATAGCTTAAAATTTATAAGACACTGTTAAGTTTAATTAAAAAAAAAATCTTACCAATAACCTTGTGATTCTTGATTGTTTTAAAAAAACAAATTGATTATTGCGTCTCATGGAGTATGTGTTACAGCCATTCACTGCATGGCTATACAAGTGAATACCAGTATCAGGGACTCTTGAAAGGAACAGCTTGCAGAAATTGTTAAGATGCCATGCTTCAAGAAGTGAGCTAGGCAACATTACATAATACCTGGAGATGCCGCTTCTTCAGAATGACAAGCTTGGTAATAATGAATAATCTTAGGTTTAAAGGGTTGTGACAGGCTTGACAGTCATGCATGGTGAACCCATTATACTGAGAGTTGGAAATCTAGTCATATGGATGTTCTAGTATTAATTATAATCTTGGTTAGAAGATCAGCTCATGACATGAAATGGCACATATGAATGACTGGTTCAAGTATCCCCATTATTTTACTCTTTGTTCTATCATTGTTCAATGATCATGGTGACTTTGCAATTCTCTGTGTACACCCTGAACATATATGGTGTTTTCTCCATAAAAGAAAATATCTCTTTGAATATAGCATATGGTTCTTAAATGTGCATGGGTTACTAGTGCATCAGTTCAAATCCAACATTCTGATTTTCATCCATATTCTGAGGTTTTTTTTAAAAAAACATCCCAAATATTAAATTTAGTAATGACAGCACTTGAGCGATCCAAAATATGTACAGCTCTTTATTAACATGAATTGAAAGAAGTAACAGGATAATACTTAGGGCCTTTTACACAACTCAAGATTGGAATATGACAATGGAACAACAACTAGTGGCTTTTCTGCAAACAGGGAAAATATTTTTCCCAAGAATTCCAATCAAGTTCCTATATACAGGGATGTTTATATTTCTGTGTACCAGCTTTTTGTATTTTTAACATATTAATATGGGTGGCAGTTTTGTAAAACATTTGTTCCAGTTTGTAGACCATTGAAATTGTACATCCAAATTGTTTGGTCTATGTTTTGCTATACCTGCTATTTATTGTTCATATTATAAAAGCAATATTTCCTATTACATTAATTTGCTGGTTTATACTAGAGTTACCATTCATAATTAAATAAAACATTTTTTACAATGCCATTACAAGAGCAATTTATCTCTTTGTAGGATATTCCACTTCTATCAGCAAGAAAGAGTACCGTATATGCCGCCGTATTAGGCGACCCGGCGTATAAGACGACCCCCGTCTTTATAGCTGGGCCGCATTCCTAGAACGTCGTCTTATACGCCGGAAACTACCATTTACGGTAAATGTTTTTATTAATCATCTCTTTATCTTCTGAGGGACATAAACACTGAAGATGCTAATAAGTATAAACTTGGTTTAGATTAACATTATTAGTCATTTAAAGTCACCAAATGCAGCAAAAAAACAAAAAAATCCACAGAAATGTGTAGTTACAGTTTAATTAGAGTTTAAATCACTTAAGAAACATTTGGGACAAATAGGTGAATATATTTTATTTTATGTATTCAAAAGTGTAGTTTAGATATTTAGACTTAAAGAAAATTTGAATTTACTGGAGCCAAAAAAACCTCAAAAGACTTTTTATGGTGATAAACACTATTTTATGTAAAACTTTATTGACTATCAAACCAAGTAAAATAATTTTCACACTATTTTTTAAACATTTATATAAAAAACTAAAGCATCTGGATCCTTTGTACATCAAAATAACTACAATGTAATCTATTTTCTTAAAAAATCTGTAGCGTTCTAATTTTAATCTGTTTTATAATTTGCACATAATCTTAAATCAGTACCAACTACTTTATCTGTAAATTTATCAGCATGAGCCTTTGGAATAAGGACTAAACCCTTTATATGTCTAGAAAATTTCAAATGTTTTGGTTTTTGAGTGTTAAGCAAGCTAGAACCAGCATCTCTGGTAGAAGGATAGCTGAAACCATTCAATGTTAAATTTTGCTCAGTCGCTGCAGAATTTGTTTTCTTGTTACAGTTTCCTTGAAAACTACTTTGAGATACCTCCATGACATGGTGAGGCTTTATTTGTTTGATGGACAATCCAGTACCTGGTATAAAAAGATCCAGCCCAGACTGTTTTGCAAGGAAATGTTTTGCTTGAGACCCTAATTGATTTACTTTGTCTTTGCTTGTTGCCGTCTCCCAAGTTAATGGATTATATACAACATGGTCATCAATAGGACATGCATTTTCTTTCTGCAGCCAACGGTCAATGCATTTTCTGTGGAACTGAATAAAATACATAATGTATTAAGCTTTGGTAATTTTCTGCCAACATTATTTATGTATCTTGCACGAGTCAAATACTGCATGTGAAATGAAATCATACACCTGAACTGCCATTCAGTTCTTGAGACACTGAATGGTCTCTGAATGGCAGTTCAGGTGTATGAGACACTGAATTCAGTTCTTGAGACACTGAATTCCATGATTGAAGAGACATCTCTGATGTCTGCTAACATTCATATTATCTCTTGTGTCGTGCATTTTAAGATAATTGTTAGTTAAGGTCTATTGGACTTGCTAGGAAACAACCAGGAAGTTGTTGACTTACTTCCTTTGAAGCAATATAAATTGCCTTTTTATGTATTCAAAAGCTTAAAATGATCACCTGAAAATGAGTTCAGGTTACTGAGGGATGCTAAGAATAATAAAAGCTAATTTAGAAGGTTTTGAAATAAAGTTAGTAGTCACTGATCACTGTCTGTAGAACTGTTGTAAATACAATGGGTCTTAGATTCAGCAAAATACTATATAAATTATTCCAATAGGCTAGTTTAAGTATAGGTTGAATAACAAATGGATGCAAGGCTGAAATAAAAAACGTGTTGAAAGAGTGCAGAATATGGTCACATTCCTCAAATATCTGAAAAGTTATTTTCACTTACTCCTGACTGCAGGACACGAGATACTGGGTTTAACTTAGAGGGGGGCAGATTCTGAATGAAAAGCTTCCTAAAGGGAACCAGTCACTTTGAGAAGGAAAAGGCTCCATTCATTGGACGTGTTCAAGCAGGGGCTAGATTGCCATTTGTCTGGGATGCTTGAATTTGGATTCCTGCAAAGCCTATAATTGGACTAAATGACTTCTGCCAACTCTTTAATGATACTAAAAACATCTGAAAATAGAAAATAATAACTGAAAAATACGTAAGTAAATCTTGCTCATGTTAAGAATAGCCACACAGCCATAGCCAAGTTTATAATGGATTCTGAGGAAGTGAAGTAACAGCTGAATTTACTCCAATAAATATTTACTTATTTGATTTACATGGCTGCCCATCTTGCAAATGTGACTATGGGTGGCTAACATGTTTAAGATTTTTATTTTTTTTAAAAAAAGAAAAATATATTAAGGGGTGAACCCCCCCCCAACCTCTCAAAAAAGTAAAAGCCAACATTGGAGCACATCCAGTTCTTCAATGCTTTATGAAAGGTAGACAGGGATGGGCCAATCTAATGGGATTATGTCACAAGGTGCTGTGACAGAAAAGGCATTGTTCCAATCATAGTTTTTTTAACAGAAAGGACCTGAAGTATGTGCCTTTTGTTGAATCTAGTGGGATGGGTATATACTGTAGCTTCCCTATCTTGTCAGTTTAAGAGTTGCCAGTGGCTGGAGCTTTCCCAATCTATATATGTGCAGATATATCCTTACATGTACAGTATCACTGCGTTGTCTCTCCCCCCTCCCCCTGTGCCTTCCTAAACAGCACAAATAGGACAAAATAAGCATATATTAATGAATTAAAAATCCCTGTAAAATAAGGTAACTTATTTACAGAAATAATTGAGCCTGGCTTACATATTCCAACCATTTTCTCTCCTACATAAAATGGAATAGTATACAAATGCATATTTCGGTTTTTCCTTATAGCCAAAGTAGCAGAAAAACAAGAAAATGGTGATGGGAAAAGGGACCTATACTGAGAAAGGAAGAAAACAAAGAGAAAGAAGCAACAAAAACTGGATACAAAGGAAGATATAAAAATGCAGGAAAAAGAAAACTTAAGCTAATATTTAGACTAATCTTCAAAAACCACTGAGCATTTACAGCTATATCTGCAGAGACTAATGATTTTCATACCCAACCTGGCAGAGCATATGGGGATCCGCCATTGTATGCCCACAGCTGCTCTGTGACACAGGTTGGGATGAGAATGTGACTGTTCCAAACTCATCCAGTGAGTTTACATGGTTGAGGCAGGACTTGACTCACAGTCATGCATTGTACTAACCTGAATTTAGTAAAATCCAAAGTAGTTATCACAATACAGTATCTTAACACCAAAGGAATGTTTAGAAATTATAAATATTATCTGATTGTGAAAAAGGCGCTATTTTATCCTGAAGCACTATTCTGGGAGTTGTTGTGTCTCTAGTTCTAAAAATCGGGAATTGTGGTAGACAAGAGTCTTGATACTTCAACACTAAAGATCGAAACAGAATTTCTTGATTTCACAAATAAATGTTTCAGATACCAGACTCGACTCTGCTTGCTGACTCTATAGAGACTGTTTCAATGCAAAATAATAATCAAAAAGGTATACCACAGCAGCATGCAGGCTTTACATTTTATTATATTACACATTATATTACACATTTTATGTTTTTGCAATGGCTTGAAAAATCTTGCATCAGAAATTAACCTGGGTTTCAGAAAAACAACTAAGCTCCTGTTCAAGTGTATCTTCAGTTTACCTTGTGATTACATGGTAAGGTCCTTGAAACTTGACCAAGGCAGAATATCTTCAAACAGAGTCTACACTGTAAACCTGGATCAAGTAAAGGGCTGCCCTTCCTAATCACTATATTGGGCATTGAGTTCAGGACCTGCTGTGGTATGCAGCTGAATCTGAAAGAGAGGTAACAGAGTATCTATTCCATATGAATTTACCCATCTATCTGATTTTAAAATCTTATTTTAAAGAAACAATGCAAACAGTGCTGATTGTACAGGTAGTCCTTACTTACATTTGGTCACTTAGCAACCATTCAAAGTTACAGCAGACACCTCCAAAGGCTATTTACGACCTGGTCTGAAAGTTACGACCACTGCAGCCACTGCAGCGTTCCTGTGGTCATTCACCCTTACAACCAACTGCAGGGATGCTGCAGTATCTCTCACCTAACTCCCATCCACATCCCCCACTCTGGGTCCCCACACATCTTAGGCCTGCTTCCCACCCCTGTGGGTCCCACACGCTCCTCCTTACTTATGTTTCATTGATCTCCAAAGCTCAGGAGGTTGGGGAGGGAACAGAAAGATTTGCTTTGCTTCAGCAAAGCAAAGGAAGCCTCTCCATTGTTTGGATCCCACAAGGATCCATCTTTTTCCACATTGGCGCTTCTGCAATCACACAGCTGCAAATTGCTTTGGCTCAGCGATCTATGTGGCTACCAACGGGTGTGCCTTGTCCTCCTTTCCCACCCTAACCTCCTGAGCTCCAGAGTTCTTTGAAACGTAAGTATGCAATTGTGACGGAGAGTGGGGAAGAGGCCCCAGCCCTGCAGGGATATGAAGGGGAAAAGAAAGGCGTGCAGGGACGCGGGAAAGGGGAAGGAGGCCCAAGGGCTGTGGGGATCCCAGGGGGCAGGAAGTGGAGCACAGGGTGTCTCAGAGTGTGGAAGCCCTGGGGCAGGGGGCGCTTGTGCTAGGCCTCCCAGTGCCTCTGCTATCTGAGGCATCTTGTGCTCCAGTTCTCATCCTCTGTGGTCATTTAAAAACTGCATCAAGGAGAGCAGGGAGTGGGGATTGTTAAGCAAGATCATTTCACTTAATGGCCATCACCACTTGCGAGCATGATGAGCAAGTAAGCTCAGGGCTACCTTTAGTTAGAAAGAATTAAAATCATAAAAATGAAAGATTTCTAATGGATTTCATTATAAATACTCCAGGCTGATGCATAACAAAAAGTGTTATGTCAATAATAATACAGGAATGTTTGTTTCACTGCAACTGTGGAAGCCCATTGGGAATAAATTACAATTCTTTATAAATACCATGAAACATTAAAATAAAAGGGATTAAAATGTATAATTAATATCACTGCTTTCTTAAATCATACGTGTCCTTCCTTAAGTTTTTTTTAATTAAAAACCACTGAAGTGGATTTCATTCAATTTTTCATCTTACGGTTCCTTGTTTTTTTCTTCTTTAAACTTCTCTTCTGGATTAATCTTCAGGTTTTCTTCTGTTGTTGACAGTTGCACTTTTGGTTCAAATGATTTCCATCTCTGATTCCTTTTCTGAAGCAGAGATATAAAGAAACCAAGCAATAGGACAGATTGCTTAAAGGGAATTATTAACAATTATCATTTCAGTAAAATTGATAGCAGAAAAAATCATGAAAGATGATACTTGGGGGAAAAAAGCTGAATAATTGCTAATTTCTCAGATCGCTGCTGCACGTTTTGCTTAGAAGAGAAGAGAAAAACCAGCAACAATGTGAATGGACTCAGTTACAGTGATGATAAAGACCATGGGAAGATGCAAAAAGCCAAGTTGGGACAGATTATCCAGGAAAAGGTAGAGTGATCACACATTGTATGATCACTAAGTGTTGATACCAACTTGATGGCATAGGACAGTGGTGGCAAACCTATGGCACACGTGCCAGAGGCGGCACTCAGAGCCCTCTCTGTGGGCACGTGTGCCGTCGCCCCAGCTCCGACTCCCCCGTGGCCCCCTCCCCAACAGCCCCTTTGGAGGAAAGTTGTGCCTGGGCATGGCCCAGGCAGAGCAGCGCAACCAAGGACATGGCAGCCGGACAGTGGGGACAAGACTCCACCCTCGCGCCCCATCTCGTGCAGTTGATGCTGCGGGGCGCAGGCAGAGGGCGTGGCCACCATGGCGCTGCTGGGTCGCCTGGCTGATCTGCAGCTGACCATGGAGGCAGTGAGTGGCCCTGTAGGTGTGCGGGGGCGGAGTGGGGGTAGGACAGGTGGGGCCGGAGTGGGTGGGACCAGGGGCGGAGCGGGGGCCAGGGCGGGATGGGGCCGGTTTTTGGGCACTCAGTATCTAGAAGGTTCACCATCACTGGCATAGGCTAACAGTTTATCCTAATTAGTAAGTAGAACACAGGCTCTGAAAAAAGAAGGTCAAATAGGATGGCAGAATCCACTTTGTATAAATAATTCTGATTCAGGATTGTATTAGTAAGTTATAAACTTCATTTGGGCTGAGTCTGTTTGGGTCTCAGTATTCCTGACAGAAGAGAGGAAAAATTATGTATGTTACATGAGCAAATAAAACTGCACCAAGGCCTATCAAGACTATCAGTATTATAGGCAGGTTAAACAAGAGGTAAAAATCCCCAAGCAAAACAGTAAATAAATTCTACAAAGCTTTCATCAATTGAAGTCTTCAGGATGAAAAGCCAGCTTTTTTTTGAAATACTTTTACACATTTACGCACATATGACATATCTTTTGAACTAGATCAGGGGTGTCAAACTGCCGGCACGTGGGCCGGTTGCATAATACGGAGGCCACACCCACCCCAGCTCTGGCAATGCAAAAAAAGTTGTGATACGTCAAAATGTGTCACATGACGTGGCAAGTTTGACACTCGTGAACTAGATCAAATAGCTTATTTTATAAAGTTTCAGTTCCATTAATCCTTAGAATTATATTCTAGGATTCATGATTTTTAACATCTTCTGCCCATGAAGGAGTGATCAAACATAGATAACACTTTCTTCTCATCCTTACTTCCAGAGAAGCAGATAGAGAGGCATTTACGATGCATGACTTGAGAAGCTGCATTTCTACACAACCAACACCTTGCTTTTCCCAGAGAATTATAGAAAGCTACATCAACTGCCACAGAATATTTACTCTCATTTTAGGGAGAAGGTAGCAGGTCACAGGAGGAAGGATAATTGGGAAAATATTGTTTTTAAAAAAGCTATATTTCATCCCCATTGTGTTCATTAGAACGCCTTGTTTTCTTCAGAGGCTATGAATTCTCCACAACCAGTAGTGGGATGCTCAACTCAGGATTTGGGAGAGGTTGTACTGCTCAACACATACACTGAACTAGGCTAGTGGGCCACTGGTTAAATTAAAAGCACCACAGCTGTTAACCAAGGACCTGGTTGAAAGGAAACTCAATATTCTATCCAGAAAAGGAAAGCAGCTAAAAGAAGAAAGCTTCAAATTAACCTTGCTTGCTGTAGCATAACATCTCACATGCATATCAACTCAAATGTAAACACTCCTAACCAGAGAGATCCTTATTGGATTGACACAGTGCTTAGGATCTCATCTTTATTTTGATTTTTGGACTACAATACAGAATTAGTCATGACTGTTGAAAAAAAAGAAAATAAAATCACTGAATCATTCTTCAATAAAACTGATTTGCAGACAAGGCATGATAGAAAGAATTAAGTTTCCATTACCAATGCTTGCTTTTTAAATTGCTGTGTTAATTTTTTTTTTTTTTTAAAGGAAGGGAATTTATACTATACCTCTCGGAAAGCAAAAATATGTGACGGATGGCAAAAGCTTTGAAAACATCCATGGCATAGATGATAATTACTACATTCAGTACACCTTGAAATAATAATATTAATATTAATAATAACATTTATACAAATCTTATTTGATTTAAAGAAATGTTCTACTTTAAAATAAAATAGGCTAACAAGCTAAAATTTCTAATTAATAAGCATATGCATTTGCAGAGGGGCAACTGAGCGGAAAGTGAAGAAACCTGGCTCATGACGCCATGGCACCAATTTTATGACTTCTGTACTTGCACCAAATTGTCAGAATGCAATGACAATAGGATGAAATGGCCTCATTTTTTTCATGACTGTGGTCCATTGTGGACACCTGTGCTAAGATGGGAAGACTTGACTCTAAATGTACAATCTTGCATTACGTACTGAAATAGTGCAATGCCCACAGTAGTTTAGAAGCTTTTCATGCTCTTGGATGCTATCAATAAATTGATTTATATTTTCTTCAGATGAAATCAAGAAAATTGAAAAAAAAATATTCTCAAACAGACACTAGGTGGTGCAAAAGTCTTTTTTTCCTTCTGATTTAATTGGTATAATGTATATCAAAATTATTTTTCCTCAATGAATCAAGAGCAGGGGTGTCAAACTGCCGGTCCACAGGCCGGATGCATCACGAGGAAACCGCGCCCACCCCATTACCAGCAATGGGAGAAAAATTCCAATACGTCGTGTGACGTGAGTTTGACATGTCTGATCAAGAGTATCAATTAAATCAGAAGAAAAACACCACCTAGTGTCTGTCTGAGAATGGTTTGAGTGTCTGACAGTATGCTATTGTATAAATATATAATTAACATTAAAATTAATTGTACAACCAAATGTTTACATTTTTAGTGTCAACCATAGTTTTAAAGAAACTAGAGTCTAATCATTTCCTATTACAGAGCTTTAAAAAATAGTTACAAATGTCACATTGAATTTTAATATTCTTAATGGAAACCTCATCTAGCTAACTATATAAACTGAAATTATTAATGTGAATAAAACTTGAGCCCTATGATTCAAGATATATAGTCACAGATAAAGTAGAGTTTTGTTACACCTTTTTGCTAGGGAGCTAGTTGTTCTGGGTGCTACTAGGCAGTGAGTGAGCTTAAGATTTTCACCAATAAACTTTTCATAAAACAATTCTGAGATGTGGCATTATCTAAATATATAAGATGAAAATTTGAGCCAACAATTGACATATGGCTACTCATAATAATCACAAAGGTTACATCTTTGATTCCTTACAGAAAAAAATGTTTAAAACATTACAAATAAATTAATTCAGGTATAACTACTTAAATGTCTTAAATGCTTACTTGTAGCAATTTCCCTCAATGGGTAGTACTCTGCAATTATTGCAAGGGATTCCAAGGTGTTTGTTAAGACTTTGTTTTTCTGCTGCAGTAACAAGTTTTTTGCAGTTTCTGAATTCTTCCAAGATAAGCTTCAGTGGGGCAAAATTTTCCCTGCATAGAGGGCACTTCACTAAAGAATTTTTCTCTAAATCTCGCTGATGATCAATCCAAATTTTCATACACACTATATGTATGTTGTTCCCACAACTAAACCTGTGTACAAGAAATTTACTTCATTATTTTTTGAAATGTTACATAACTTAAATAGATTTAATAATTATTCTAATAAATTTAAATTTCATTAGAATTACGTTATTTTTCATTTGTTATCATGGAATTTTATGTATCAAATTCTTAATGACAAATTTTCTAAAACTAATGAAATTCAAGGTGATCCATTAGAAAAGGGATAGACAATGTTTTAACACTAGAAAACCACACTGGGACCGTGATGTGAAAGTTGTATGAAGCAAAAATAATCTCCAAATTAAAAATAAAATAAAAAGACAATTAAAAAAAGAAACTCCAAATCCTCAAAACATTGTAACTGATAAAAAAATATTTTAAAAATAGAATCTGCCATAAAAATATGATGGCATAATCTAGACCAGGCTCTAGAGAATACAAAATAAGGATTGAAGTCATAAGCAGCCTATGCGGACCAAGGGATTCCATCTTCAACTCTGCCAGTTATCTATAACATGATTTAGCAAAATTTGGTTAGCAATTTATTTTAGAAATCCTGTTTGTTTTGTATAAAAGCAAAAAGAAGATAACACAGTTTTATCAAAGATGCTTAAATGCTTTTTTTTATTTGTGTGTATTTGGTAACTAAAGAATCATAGACTGCTTCTAATGAAGAAAAGCTAAAAGTTTGAATTCCAAATAAAAAAGAATACTTTACCTATTTATCTACTTAGAAAAAGAAACAATTATTAATAGTGATGCAGGGTTTTCTCAGCCAGCATCAATTTGATAATCATGAGTTTTCAGGCTAATTTGAATAGAATTAGAAAATAGATCCTACAGCTATGGTGGGATTCAAATATGTGAACAACCAGTTTTCTGTGTGGATGCCGCTTCCGGAAGTCCATTTTGGGCCTGGGCAACAAAAAATTAGCTACCGGTTCTGCCAAAGTGGTGCAAACTGGCTGAATCCCACCACTGTCCTACAGTAACCTGAAAACCAACATGGATTGCTGTTTACATTTAAAAAAAAAAATCTAACCTGCAGGAAGAGAAATATCACTAAAACTCTCACAGAGAGTACTAGATGTATTTGTGAGCCTGAAAATTGTGTGTCCAAATATCAAGCAGCCTACCCAGGGATCAATTTGTGGTTTTCCAAATGTTGCTGCCAAACTCACAGCAGCAGTGCCTGCCAAACAAGGCCACTCTGAGGAGAGTTGCAAGTTTTTGCCCAGTGACAGATGGAAAACCTCTACTAGAGCAAAGTGGAATTATGGACATGAGTCCAAATGAAGCAGTGATATGCATCCTAAAACTCCTCCCAAACATGATCTCTTGCAAATGTATAAGAAAATGCCATCAGTCAAACTGCATGATTACAAATATGATACTATCTCCCAGCAATTAAAATCCAACAGGAATTCACCTGCAATAAGTGACAGGAAGCATTTTTTTGAGTAGCATATCCTGGCAAACAGGACATATATCCTCATTGTCAATACTTTTTTGTTTAACATACCCATCATCAACTGTTATCAATTTCTTAACAGAATGGGCAATTATTTTTACTTGGGGGACAACTTGTGGATTCTGAAGCAGATAGTTAATTTCTCGTTCTAACAAACCAATCTGTAAAGCATCTGTTGAAAAAGAAAAAAATAACGTTAATATGTATAATGAAGCCCTAAAATATACAATACATTTGTTTGTTGGAAATTCTTGCCCTCCCTCCCAGCAATCCTGGTTGCCCACTGCCAGCTATGGGATGACCATCTGAGTGACGGGGAATAGAGACAGGGTTTCTGGGGGATACAAATACAAAAACAAATGTTCCATGCAATGAGTTCCAAACAGAAAATAAAAGGACAAGATTAACCTATACCTACATTCATGGTCTCTTGGAAGTTTGAACTTTTTTAGTAATAACCTAAAAATAAAAGAACAAATTGAATACAATTTATTCAGTAACTTTACGATTTAAATGCAGTTGGCTTTTCAATTTTAAAGACATACAAACATAAGCTCAATTATGAAAAAATGCCAAACAGTTCCCTATATTCCTTAAAGTTGCATATCATCTGCATGAAATTTAGGAAAACGTATTTGCTTACAACTGTCATTCATATTTCTTATTGTATCTTGTAACCCATAGCAAACAAAGTGATGAATTATTTTGACCCTCATCCTCAACTTGTATTTGGTTTATGCTATCTTCTCTTTTCCCTGATGGACAGATTTAACTGAATTTCCAAACCAGATATTTCCTCTTTTGGTACATGCATACTCCCACATCCCTTTTTTAAATTAAAGAAAAATAAAAATGGAATATTGCAAAGTGCCAGACCTTCAATATTATCTTTATTTCCAAAAGTGCCTCTGAGTCCTGAATGAATCCCCTGAGCATTTCATCTTCCAATGCTAAAAAAAAATCAACCTAAAACTTTCTAGAAGAAAACTTTATAACTTGCCTCTATCTTCTTCATACTCATGTTTTTCTCATCTTTCAGCATCCTTTCCTTTCCTATCTTTTGTCCTTTTATCTATTTTGTCCTATCTTGATTCCTCCCTCCCTGGTGGCAGAATAATATCTGACTTTTAAAAAGATGAATAACATTAAGAGGCACTGCAGAATGCACACCAAATATAGAATGATATTTTTTTTTATCATTTTACATTTTAATAAAAATAATTTACCAGCAGATATGTTTACAAAGGTCCTTCTCTTTCAGAAATACTGAGCAGCTGCATGAATGAGGGTTCCCCAGGGAAACCTTATACCAAAACAATAGAAAACATATTTAATAATTATGCCATTTATAAAATGGAGAACAATGAAAACTAAGATGCAGAAAGACAGTATTTACTAAAATCATGTCTATTTTACTCACAGTGTATCTAAAATAGTACTAGAAAACAGAAATAATAGTGCTAGAAATAGTGTAACAATTATTATTTATCTTCTAATGGACTATTTCTCAGAAAAAAATCTATTTATATTCACATACTTTCAAATATATGATGGTATCAACATCTATCATTCAATGAAACAGAAGAAAAAGATAATGGGAGTCCATTAATGACATCAAAATGCACTTCTGAAAAGCTATAAGCAATAGCACTTAGATTTATACACTGCTTTACAGCCATCTCTAAGCGGTTTACAGAGTCAGCATTGCCCCCAACAATCTGAGTCCTTATTTTACTGACCTCGGAAGGATGGAGGACTGAGTCAACTTTGAGCCTAGTGAAAAGTGAACTGCCAAACTGCGGGTAATTAGCAGTCAGCAGAATTAGCCTGCAGTACTGCATTCTAACCAATGCGCAACCACGGCCCTTATAAGAATACATACATACATACATACATACATACATACATACATACATACATACACATACATACATACACAGGTTTGTTTCAATGATTAGGGTGTGCACTCCACATTATGAATCATAGGTTTAACTATTAAAGTGTAACAATAAAATCAGATCAGATTGATCAGATACTCCCATCAGCAAGGGAAATTTTTCCTCGAGACTAGAAATGTTGTGACATATATCAAATTCCCATTTGAAAAGCATTGTTCATTGTCTCACTTTTGCTCTGTGTGTATTATATAGAAGACGTACACTATTTCTATTCTTTTTCTTTCAACTTTTAAATCATTTTATATTGCAAGTAGGGAATATATATAGTACCTTGCAACTTAAGTTTTTAATCTCATACAGGTAGTCCTTGACTTACAACGACAGTGGAGCCTGCCCATCAAGGTTTAAGTTGTAAGTCATAAAACAGGTCGGTCATGTTACCAACCCAATTTTATGACCTTTTTTGGGATAGTCAAGTTAACACATCTGTTAAGCGAATCAACAGATGTAAATGACAGTTTTAACAAAACTGATGTAAAATGCACTCATGAGACCGGGGACACTGCAAATGATTACGGTTATGTGGCTTAACTGCTGAATGCCAAAATTTGGTCATGTGAAGTGGGGAGTGTGACTGCCGAAACTTCAAATCCAGGTCATAACTAGCCACCAGGTAGGTCTGTCATAACTTTGAATGGTCACTATCTGGCCAGTTGTAAAATGAGAACTATCTGTGTTAACAGAATTTCAAAATGTGAGTTGAAGCTGCTCATCGAGAAGGAAACCGGAATATGCCTAATGGAGAAAATGTGAATTATATTTTTAATACTTTTAAAATTGGTTAAGCCTATACTTGAGAAGTTTGATATATGACTAAAGTTTTATGACACAAGATGTGTAGCTTTATCCCTTGCGAGTATGGAGAATAGAGCAACTAGTACTGTCCCTGAAGAGAAACTGGCAGCAGAAAACTGTTTATATCTACCAAAAAAAGAAAAAGAACTCACAAAAATAATGTGATAGGATCCCAGTAGGCACCTTAACTTGCAGCATGATAAAAAGAAATGAGCAGATTTGCTACAAAGTACAATGCAAGAAGTCCAATAGGGAGTTTTCCTTTCAACTACTAGCAGGTGCTTGTTTCTGCATGGAGCAGCATTCTCTCACTAAATGGGGTAATAGATACATGATGATGAGAGGATATTAAAAGCAAGGAGATTTATGGAATGATTATACAGTGATAAATACTACTTGTCAAGTGACAGGGCTTCAGTGAAAAGAAAAATATTTGTGGCTCATGCACGTGAAAGCAAACAGCAGTAATTGCACATGAGTAATCAATTAGTTTTACATATAGCCAACCTTATTTTAATTTAATCAGATCAAGATCAAATCAGCAGTATTGCTTGGCTATAGTAACCCTTCTCTAGTAGTAATACTGCTATAATGCAACCCTAAACCAATGAAAGTGAGCATATAATCATTATTTCTCTTGATTTATGAGCTGTCTGTATGAGTATGCAAAAGGAAAACACTGACACTCATTCAATTAATCCTTTTTAAAAAATTGTCTTTACCCTGCCTTTTGTTTGGTAGGATGTGATTTCTAGTAGGGATAGATATGTACGCATAGGCAGGCACATCCAAACACATGGGAATCAAATGCACACATTTATTAAGAAAGCAAGCAATCTCCAGAGATGGTTTCAGCCACAGCAGGCAACCTTGGGTTAATAAGGTAGCAATTTCAGAGAGGTCCCCCCTCCCATTTTTATTTTATTAATCATTTGCTTTTCCTGGAATGGTTGGACTAAACTTATTTTTAAATCAGTTGAATTAAATTATACAGTTAAATGTTGAACTGTATAACACAGTCAAACATCAGCACGTAAAATGTTTCTAACCTTTTGTATTATGTCATAATTACTTTATGATGTTTCTATAATAAAATGTTTTATAAAATTTGCGAGATTTCAAATCCATGGGTGTCCTGGATACCGGATTTTGGACACTTGAAGTACTTAGGTTCAGAAAATTTTTTCCCATGGTGCATCATTTCACCAGTTAAAGTTGACAGGAATCAGTGTTTTAATAGTATGTGGAACAGATAAAGAGATGCTGCAAAGATGACCACCTCCTGGAAGGAAAAGTCCAGAACAGATTGGTGGATATAGGAATACATCCCAGGGAGAGAAAACATCTTCAGAACAATAAAACAAGATCAAATCAGCAGTATTGCCAGTGCAAACAGAATTGGCCATAGGCTTATACAGGTAGTCCTCAACTTACAACAGTTCATTTAGTGACCGTTCAAAGTTACAACAGCACTGAAAAAAGTGACTTACAACTGTTTTTCACACTTACAACCGTTGCAGCATCCTCATTCACATGATCAGAATTCAGACACTAGGCAACTGGTTCATATTTATGACGGTTGCAGTGTCCCAGGATCATGTCAGCACTTTTTGCGACCTTCTGACAAGCAAAATCAATGGAGAAGCCAGATTCACTTAACAACTGCAGTGATTCACTTGACAACTGTGGTAAGAGAGGTCGTAAATTGGGTCAAAACTCATTTAACAAATTTTTCACTTAGCAACAGAAATTTTGGGCTCGGTTGTGGTTCTAAAAAGACTATAGTATCCCTTCTCTAATATCACTATAATCCATCCGTACATCAACAAAAGTGAGCATATAATCACTATTTCACTTGGTTTATGAACTTCCTGTATGAGTATGAAAAAGGAAAACACTGACACTCTTAAATGCAAAAAAATAAAATAAATGAATTGCAGTGTTTGGGCAGAACATCCTTTTCTTCACTTTCAAGCATTCAGGCTTTTCTAAGGGAAGGGAACATGTTGAACTGAGATGTGAACTCTACAGGAGCAAAAGGCACTTTCTACATGTTCAGAAGTATGTTTTTAGTTTCAAAATTAATTGTGAAGCTAAAAGCGGGGAAGGGTGTGGGGGGGAGAAGAGTCAGGTTCGCCATGCAAGAGATAAGTACATAATCTGGCACCCACACCCACACGAGCGAGCGTGCCATCCCCGGCTGTGAAAACGGGAACGAGGGTCCCGTTTCTTTGCCCTCCGCCTCCCTCTCCCCTCTTCTACCCTGAGCTCCGCCGCCCTCTGGTCTTCCTCCTGCAGGACGAAAGCGGTAGGGCCCAGCTCCCGCACGATACGCATGGTTGTGCCCAGCGCCTGATCCTGCCGCCAGCTCAGCTCCGGGCTGGCGGAGACGCGCCTTCGCGACATGAACGCCACCGCCGCGGCCGCCCCTGAAACCAAACCGTCTCCCTGGGAAGCGGAGCCGCCTGGCGAGTGGAGCGCGGGTCTCTGAGAAACGGGAGCAAACCGCGCGCGGATGGCCTCACGCGACTGAAGGAAGAACGGTCGCTCGCCCCCCTCCCCACCCTTCCTCCACCGCCGCCGCCGCCGCCTTCTTCTTCTGAGGGACGCGAAAGAGCTGAGAAGTGCGCGTCTGGTTTCCATGGAGACGGGCGCCCGGGCGTGGACTCAAAGTGACGGGAAAGGGAGCCGTGGTTTCTCTCATGCTCCTCCAGCCTACATTTGAACTTTGTCCTTGAGTTCTGATTCGTTGAAAGTTGCTACAGTATATCTGTGCTCATTATCTTCCCTTTTGTCTCCCTTGCTCTATTCCTCTACCTTTTTCCTCCGCCTAGAGATAGAGATAGCTACTAGATAGCTAGAGAGCAAGAGACATAGATAGATGGATGGATGGATGGATGGGTGGATGGATGGGTGGATGGGTGGATGGATGGATAGCAAGAGACATAGATAGATAGATAGATAGATAGATAGATAGATAGATAGATAGATAGATAGATAGATAGTAACAAGAAATAAATAGATAGATATAATAGATAGATAGATAGATAGATAGATAGATAGATAGATAGATAGCAAGAGACATAGATGATGATGATGATGATGACAGATAGATAGATAGATAGATAGCAAGAGACATAGATAGATGATGATAGATAGATAGATTGATGTATAGATAGCTAGATAGCAAGAGACATAAATAGATGACAGATGGATATTGAAAGATAGCTAGATGGATGGATAGCTATCTATCTATCTATCTAGATGGATGGATGGATGGATGGATAGATAGATAGATAGATAGATAGAGAGGATGGTGCAGATTAGTTTAAATGTATCCTGCTGCATAAAAAGAGGTGAAAGGAAGAAATACATTTTAAATATTCCTTGGTTAATTGGAAATGATGAAGTCTTATCAGCTCAGTTAATTTATTATAGACTCAGACCACTATCAGTGTTTTCACTTCATATATATTTATAATGCCTGCCTTCATTTTGAAGGGAAGCTTCCTTCCACAGGGATTGCCAGGGATCATCAGTTAACAGCACTTGTGGATAAGATAGCCAAGGCTTGAATGGCTTTGCCTGGATGTGGCCCAGTCACAGCTCTGCTGTGTTCAGAATCTCTCTGCTGTGACCTATATATGACTTTTCACTCTTAACTGCAACAGAAAAGGAAGTATGAGAGGGAGGCGGTCTTCTCCAGACAAGTCGGATTTCCTGTCTCATAATTTTCAGCCACACTTCTAGTAATGAATACATATATTTAATTTGACAGGTTTTTGGTGCAAGCTTCTGCCTATATGAAAACTAATGATTCATACTTAAGATCTTGACATGTTCAGATACTTATTAGAAAAATTATATTAGTTCCAGGCTGTTTCTCTCTTTGGTTAGTTTCCATCCATTGCTTCTTGTCCTGCCTTCAGGTGCTTTGGAAAATAGCTCGACTCTCTGTTCTTTGTGGCAACCCCTGAGATATGACTGCTATCATGTCCTCCCTCGCCCTTCTCTTCATTAAACTAGACATACCCAATTCTAGCAACCGTTCTTTATATGTTTTAGTCTCCAGTCCCCTAATCATCTTTGTTGCTCTCCTTTGTACTCTTTTTTTAAAAATATATTTTATTAGATTTTATATGGGTAGGGAAAAGGTGGGGTCGGGGTGGGTACAGGGAAATCAGGATAAAAGGGACAGGGTGTGGATAACTATAGTAAATACGTAATTCAGCGAACAAGCTGTCGTCCGGGTCTTCATATTGAGTATTATTGTTTATATAATACTAGACATTTATAAGAATAAATTGGTATAGTTACAACTCACATTTGGTAAAACAGTAATATTCCTTTAAATAAGTAACATAGTTGATAGCATAACAACTATTTGCAATCATCAAGCTTAATACTTAATATAATAAAGCTCTAAAATCTCTTCTTATTCTAACATGTTTCAACCACTAATAAAATTTTCCCCAGGTTTTATAGAAGATTGAATCCCCTTTCTCCTTCATCTCTAACGTTAATCTGCCCATTTCTGCACAATCTAGGATTTTCAAAATTATAATTATGTCTGGTGGTAGGTTTTCATTTTTCCAAAATTGGGCGAATACTATTCTTGCAGCTGTCAATACATGTAATATTAAATAATAATTTTCTTTGCCATAGATAGATCTTAATATACCTAACAGGAACAGTTCTGGTTTAAATTCTATCTGGATTTTCATCATCTTTTCTAACCATCTATGAATCTTAGACCAATATTTTTTTACAATAGAACATGTCCACCAGGCATGGTTTTTGCTTACATTTCCAACATGTATCCGATAAATTTTTAAACATTTTCGCTAAGCAAACTGGTGTCATATGCCATCTATAAAACATTTTATATAAGTTTTCTTTGTATGTTACTGCTTTAGTAAGTTTGATATTTTTATCCCACAGATTTTGCCAGTCTTCTAATTCTGTAGAATATCCAAAGTTCTTCGCCCATACTATCATTGTCTCTTTTACTTGTTCCTCTTCCATCTTCCAATTTAAGAAGTATTTATAAAGCTTCTTAATCAAATGTTCATCTGTTTTTAAAAGTATTTTATCAAGTGGAGTCACCTCTTTGTAAAATCCCATTATTTTTATGTCTTTTTCATATCTTGTTTGAATTTGCAAATAGGACCACCATGTTAAGTCAATACCTTGTTGTTGAAGGGCTTGCCTGTCTTTGAGTTTTCTGTCCTTATCCAAAATGTCTTTATAACTAACAAGTTTATCATAATCAGATTCGGATAAGCAAATGCTTCCATCATTGAAAGCCACTCAGGAATTTTCATATACATTTTGTGTCTAACTTTCTCCCATTCAGAGAGTAAAACACTTCTTATAGCATGGTTTTGAAAGTAATTATGTATTTTAGCTTTCTCATACCATAAAAAGGCATGCCAGCCTAGTTGAAGGTCATATCCCTCTAAATAGAGAATTTGCTTATTTCTCAGAGTAATCCATTCTTTAAGCCAAAGCAAAGTAGCTGCTTGATAATAAAGTCTCCAATCTGGAAGTCAAAAACCCCTCTCTCTTTCGAGTCTTGTAGAAGTTTACATTTAATTCTTGCTTTCTTTCTTTACCATATAAATCTTAATATCATTGCGTTTAAATTGTCAAAACATTTCTTACCCAGTTTTACAGGAACGGTTTGAAATAAAAAAATTAGCTTTGGTAAAATGTTCATTTTAACAGTTGCTATTCTTCCTAACAATGATAATTGGAGATTTTCCTATTTTTCCAGGTCAATTTTTATTTGTTTTATTAGTCTCTCATAGTTATCTTCTTTTAGTAATGAATATTTCGCCGTAAGATAGATACCTAAATATTTAACTTTTTTAGCTATTTGAAGATTTGTCTTTTTGGGGAGTTGAGTTTTCTGTTTATCAGTTAAATTTTTTGTTAACACTTTAGTTTTTTCCCTATTTATTTTCAATCCAGCCACTTCTCCAAATTTCTCAATTTTCTGCAAAAGTTTAGGGGCTGTTTCCAAAGGCTCCTCTAAGATAAAGACCAGATCATCCTCAAAAGCCTGTAATTTATATTTCTGGTCTTTAATCTCGTGACCTTTAATTTCTATGTCTTGGCTGATGCTTCTAGTCAATACCTCCAGAGTAAAAATAAATAGCAAGGGTGAGAGTGAACATCCCTGTCTCGTGCCTTTTTTGATATCAAAGCTCTCTGTATAGTCTCCATTTATAAGTATCCTTGCTGATTGTTTCTTGTAGATTGCTTGAATTGCTTTAATAAAGTTTTCACCAAAGTCCATTTCCTGTAGTTGTTGAAACATAAATTGCCAATTTAAATTATCAAATGCTTTTTGTGCGTCAAGAAATATGAGCACCATCTGGTTCCTTGGATGATTTTCATAATACTCTTTCTAGAGTCTACTTTACATCGTGATGACCAAAACTGGATGCAGTATTCCAAGTGTGGCCTTACCAAGGCATTATAAAGTGGTATTTACACTTCACGTGATTTTGATTCTATCCCTCTGTTAATGCATCCTAGCACTGTGTTGGCTTATTTGGCAGCTGCAGCACACTGCTGGCTCATATTTAAGTGATTGTCCACTAGAACTCCAAGATCACTCTCACAGTTACTACTATTGAGCAAGGTGCCACCTATACTGTACCTATGTATTTGGTTTTTCTTGCCTAAATGTAGAACCTTTTTTCACCATTGGATTTCATTTTGTTAGATAGTACCCAATGTTCAATTCTGTATCCTTCTGTATCCTTGTTAAAACCAAATAAATATAAAAAACAGATTTCACCTCTATATCCTGTTTAAGTTTTCAACTTCCTTCCCAATTTCAGGAACCTAGTAGTTAAGAGTCCAACAATTTCATTTTTATGAAGTTACGGAGAGTCACTATTGTATAGTCAACAAAGTAAAAATAGAATCCTATTCTAGTGATTTTATTTTTATCACAACCATTCTTCATCTGGGAAATACAGAAGCTTCAGGAATTATTTCGATTTCTGGTATATTTACAAAATACTGTAGAATTCACTGGCAAATATTTAGTTGATTTTCAGTGCTATATTTTTGCCAATTCAAATATAAATTATTTTTAGACATTTCCAAAATTATCTAATCATTTGATAATTTCAGTGACTTCTCTCTGTTGAAGCCTTCCTTCCTTCCTTCCTTCCTTCCCTCCCTCCCTCCCTCCCTCCCTCCCTCCCTCCCTCCCTCTCTCCCTCCCTTGCTCCCTCCCTTCCTACTTTTCATAGAATTAGAGTAAGAGTAATCCTTTATATCTTTAAGAATCCCAAAGAATTTCTCAGTCTGTAAAAAAGAGAAAATTAGAAAAATAACTCATAAGAACAATATATTTCATATAGTGGAAATCAATATATTTCATTTTGAAATCACACAAGCCATCACAAAGTAAATTTAAAGAATATAGATAATGTGTCGAGTAAAGTGTTTGCCTTGCTTCCCCCCCCATTCTGCAAAGTGCATTGTCTAGAAAGAGTAGACTCAAGTGTACAGAAAATGCTT